AATTAGGGATGTTCATTTTAACCGTTTAACCGGTTAACCGACCGTAAGAATTTTGACCGATTAATACAATCAGTTAAACGGTTTAAAAAGTCATTTAATTATTTATTTTTTCAGTAATTTATCAAAATATTTAAAAAGGTTGGCTGTATGGTTAAAATACACTACGCGTATAAAAAAAAGTGTTTTTTTAGGGGGAAAAAAACTTAAGTCGCATCTAAGTCGCATTTTATTGTTTCATTCAGAAATAGGACTAATGCAGACGCGAAATGTTTACAAACATTATAATAAACACTGTAAACATAGCTAGGCTATTTTAGTTCCCCTCACTCCACAACAAATCCTTTCAATTAACAGTATTTAGAAAAATATAGATAGCCTAGCTTTATTATGTTTTTCTCCGCTCGCAGAAGCGCTGCAGGTGCGTTGATTGATATGACCATGTGAATCCTCATGTTCTGTTGTTTGCTGCTTTTTGCGCATGTAAAATTAATCCCCGGTAGTGTTGTCAAAAGACCCGGTACTTCGGTACAAAGTTGGTACTAAAAAAAAAAAGAAAAAAACAAACAAAAAAACAGGTATGGTACCAGGTTTTTTTAAGTACCGGTGGTACCGAGTACCCGTCAACCCGGTTCTTGATGCGCTATCGGAAAGGTGCTCTCTTCATAAAAGCACTGAGACGTGGCGACATCAAAAGTAGGAAACACACCAAACTAACAAAACACTTTAAAGACAGACACCCAGATCAAATGAAAGAAAAAGAGTTCCATCAGGTAAGTTTCATTTTAATGTTTAATATTTAGATATTCTCAGTGTTTCCCATATTGATTTATTTGTGGCGGCCCGCGCCACAATATCAAAACTGACCACCACAAATAGATTTTCCTGTGTTAGAGAATATACAAACGGTTAACATTGTTTGTGTCATATCAGTCAGAAAAGCAGTTCTGGGCTTTTTTTTAAAATTTTTTTTTTTTAGCTAACATAGTTATTTGTAATTCTTGGCTGAATAACTCTAGAAGGTTTTCAAAAGCCCTTTAAAATTAAATATGTACACAGTTTGGATTAAATTGAAGTATAGTCACATTTTTTGTGTTTTGCTTTGGTACCAAAATTGGTACAGAGAACCGTGGATTTTCACTGGTATTGGTACCGAATACTGAAATTTTGGTACCGTGACAATACTAATCCCTGGAAAACAAATGTTAGTATTTTTTTATGGGTCACAGACACGTATCCTTTCTAATTTAATTCAATTCTAATTTAAAATAATCTTGTCAGTTAATGGTTAACAATCGGTTAATGAGCGTCGGTTGTCGGTTAGGAAAAATAACCGAAATAAACATCCCTATTTTGAATGATAACTTAAACCTTTAAACTAAAGACAGACCTACTGTGAGATATGAGGTTGTTAACTGATGGCATTTGCTTTTGTTGAAGCCGTCACAGTCTGCATTATTGCAACTTAGTTTAAAAAAAATAATGTTTAACAATGGAACACGAAGTAAAATACTACATTATCCATAATTCTGCATAGAAGTCTCCACAAATCAGAGAATCTAAACCAGCAAAAAGCCAAAAAGAAACTCTTTAGCACCTGCCCACTCCCATGAAGCAGTGTGAATGACAGTCTCCCTACACGCAATAAGTTGCAGAAAACAACTCTTTGCCGTCTCGTCTTGCTGTCTGAAGCGCTCGCACAAGCCGCATCTCGCACTGCGTCTCTCCAGGTCTGCCGCACACGTGCAAAGCGCGCGCACACACAGAGAGACGCGTTTCAGACCGAGCT